AACCTGAGCCTATAGCCCAGCACAACACCAGGGTAGGATGAAGGCATACACAGCTGGTCTTACAGCCCAAGACCTCTGCAACCAGTCACAGGTGATGCAAGCTGGAATACAAGTCTGATAGACTGAGACCTGTTTAATTCTAAAGCTGTCCCAGGGACTCCATCAACAGTCCAGCCTGGGGATGGGCGTTATTCGTGTCCACACAATGTCGGTTTTCAGGACAGTCTTGCTCTCACTACTTGTCCTACCCCCATAAGTGAGTCTTACCCCATCTTATGCTACCTGAGTTGAGGTGCTGCTGGTAAAGGCAACTGCTTTGCTATCTGGACTGATGCTAAGCTGGATCAAGCCTGAATCTCACAGATGCAAGAACCTATAGCTTCAAGGGTGCACCAAGCTCCATGCCATAGTTGGTAGTGATGCAGGTTGAAACTGAAGTCCATCCTACTGGGGCACAGATTTTTGCTAAATGTTGGGGAAGTTCTGGAGCCTTGCCTATAAGCAATGGTCTGGTAACAGTTGTGGTGGGTGCCTGAGGGTGGGGGACTGGTAGTGGAGAAGTCCCCTGGCCACCAAAGCTGACACAACTAGGTCATACCAGACTCTCTCAACTTCCTGGGCTTTCACAGTCTTAGGAGAAAGAGGAGGTGTCTCTAGGCCTACTAAGTGGCTTGAAATGGTGCAGGCAAAATTTGAGCCTGTGTCCCAGGAGAATGGGTCTCTGCCTGCTGCTGGGACCCACCTAGCAGCTCAGTCTGTGAGCTTTGGCTTACGAATGGGGCCTGAAGTTTCTACCCAGTTCCAGGTCTAATGATGGCAGTCAGTTTTGAACAATTGATTTTTCTTTTTATTAAGAGTCACATTTCCCCGCTTCTTTTCATGCCTGATAACCTTTGATTGAATGCCAGTCATGAATTTTACCTTGATGGTTTTGTGTGCCTATAAATTCTTCTTGAACTTCGTTCTGTGACGCAGTTACATTACCTAGAAATAATTTGTTCTTCACATGTCTTGCCTTGATGATTTCTTAGGAGTTCCCAGAGAGGTGCTTAGTTTAAGGGTAATCATTCTCCGTTACTGAGACAAGACCTTCCCAAGTAATCTGCCCAAAATCCCGTAAATCACAAAGTTTTCTGGTTAGAGAGAAGTACTATGCCTGGGTCTGTGGAAACTCTAAGCTGTTTCCTTCCATTTCTTTCTAATGGCTCTTTCTCCAGCATAAAGCAATTTTCTTAAATGCACAAGTTAAGCAAAACTTTCAAGGCAGATTTCTGGAGCTTCCTCCTCCTCTTCCTCCTCCATCACTCCCCCCATCTCTCTCTGTTATTTGTTCTTAGAATTCTAGCTGCTTTGGTCCCCACATTCAGCTCTTCAGTTCAATTTCCCAAACTCAGGACATCTGTCACACTCTGCCTGCATTCCTCCTTCATACACCACGGCCTGGACATTTCAAAGCAGTCAGTGGGGAAAATCTACCGCTGTCTTTGCCCTATATCCCAGGGATTACTAAGCTTCACTGCTGGTTGCTCAGTGTCTTTATAAACACTGGCTTATATATTTTTGTCAGGTTTTTTCCTCAGAGGAATTTTCAGACAATGGAAGCAGGCAATAAATTCAGTCTACAGCACTTTCCCCAAACAAACCCCTTGGCAGCAGGATCACCATCCTCTTTGCCTGGCAAAGATGTTTACTTTTCCCTGCCTGTTTTCATTATCTCAGGACACAGGAGATCATCAGGATTCCTGGAGGGGCGTCTCTACTGGTGAGCAGCCCCTCTAGACATGCCTGGCTATGCCCCTCCTTTGGAGCCCTGGTAACAGTGGTCCTTGCAAACCAACCACAGGGGCCAGTACCACACACCCAAGCAGGGACACAAAGTCACAGAAAGAAGCCACTGTCAGCAGAAACGTACTGAGTCACACAGGGCAAGCTCTCCCTCCCTCCAGACATGTGTCTTAGTCACTTCCTTTGTTGCTGGGACAGAACACTGACACACACTATTTTGGCTCATATTTCAGTCTGTAGTTAGCTGGCTCCGAGGCAGGACAGCATGGCAAAGGGGCATGGGTGGAGGAGGGCTGCTCACTGCATGGTGGACAGGAAGCAAGGAGAGTCAAGGGAGCAGCCAGGAAGGGACATCGAACCTTCTGGGTCACACCTGCAGGGACTCACCTCTTTAGACCAAGCCCTACCTCCTAACCTCAAATAGCTATAATGCTGTTAGGACGCAGCCACCTTCCCAAGGTCCTGGGTGTGACCACATAAGGCTTTAGGGTACATCTAGATATATACAACCGTAACAATGTCCCTGTCCTCACTTCTCCTCTTCGGCTGCATCCTTGTGCACAGCCAGCCTGGCCTCCTTGCTCTCAGCCCCTGCAAAGCCCTCCACAGTCTTGAAGTGGTTCTGGACATGGCTGCACATCCTGCTCACTTGGGAGCTTTAAATGCCCCCTATATGGATTTCCCGGCAGTGGGAGGTGGATACCAACAGATTTTGAGTCCAGGCAGTATTATTTATTAGCAGTAGAGTTTGGGGTAGGTTAATTAACCCCAAAATGGAGATAACAGTGTGGTAAGGCCTGTCTCATAAGATGTATGGTAAGGATTCAAGGAGTTAAACATGTGGAACGCCTGGAACAGAGCCTGACGGTAAGCTGTATTTCATCTTTGGCCATGGTTATCATCAGGTGCGCCCTAAACGGAATCACTGCCATGCGGAGGAAAATCCTCTCCTATCTGAAGAATTCACACAGGAGAATCAGTGTATCAATGCCCCTTAAAGATGCAAGGGAAAATAGGCAAGACATTGGGTAACTGCTTGCTGCAAAGCATGCATGATTTTATTTAATTTTTACAATAAGTCCTCCATATTGATAGTAGTATAGTCATTTTGCAAGAGAAATAAACCCAGATTAAAAGAGATGAACAGGATAATGGTGGAGTTGGGATTTATAACTAAGTCTCTCTCACTCCAAAATGCAGGGTCTTTGTTGTGAAAAGTGCTTTGGCTGATAAGAAAAGAACAGAGAAAATACAGCTTGCAGTCTCAATGTCATTCACTAATAAAAATTGTTGTTTCCACAGTGCAGCGGCCAGGGCTGACCTGCATCAAATGCCTGGACAGCGCTTTCACTTTCTCAGGCTAGGATAGACGCTAGTTAGGAACTGGAAAAGTAGTGCTCCGATAAACACTTCTTCACTCTAATTTTTTAAAGTATAATCAGACCTGGGCATGGTGGCGCACACCTGTGATCCAGCTCTCTGGATTCCAAATTTGAGCGCAGCCTGCATAATTTAGTGAGGCTTTGTCTCAAAATAAAATATCTAAAACAGGTTTGGAATGTAGCTCAGTGAAAATGAATGTCCTGGGTTCAATCCTTTGCACCAAAAAAAGTCTATATCTGTATCTATAGATATATCTAGATGGGGAAGCCCATGTTCTACATTTTAATTCAACACCAGACTCCACACTGGGAAGCTGTGTGACTTTGTACCAGTTACTTAATTTCCCTGTTCCTCGGTCTCCTCACTTGTCAAGTGGAGATAGCAATTGTAACCTGCACTGGAGTTACAAGGAGCAAATGGCCTAAACAAGAGGAGCCGCTCCCAACCCACAGGAAGTGCTCACTCAATGGTCATTATGGCTGTCATTTCCATTTAGAGAGTGCTGGTGAGTCTTCTGAATGCTAAAATTTCAAGTGCTGCTCCAAACTACATGAAAGAGGTCCAAGTGCAAAACCAGGATGTGCAGGTGAGTTGAATAATTTCCTTTAATATTCATGATGCAAATACAGGTTTATGCCCTCCCTTTCAAATAACCCATCTCCCTCCCTTGGCCTGGCCAACCTTCTGCAGGAAGGTTCTAGATCCTGCTCCAGAAGAGTAATGGCCCTCAAAAAGTTGTGAAAAAGTGAATTTAGTTTTTCACATTCGAGGATTACCTGCCACATTTTGAATGTGATTCAGTCTGTAGGCAAGGGCCTAGTCTAGGTTGTCCATCACTGTTTTCCTCTGGTTTTCACAGTTCCTCTAAGGACACACTTTGAATGTCCTTAGTAGACGCTCTTGCCCAAAATTAAGTCCTCTGATAGCTCTGCTTAACTAGGCCTTAATCTATGGGTTGCCATGAGCCATGATACCTAACACCCACAAGTTAAAAGAGGAAAGGTTTAATTTAGCTTACAGTTTGAGGGAATTCAGTAAATGGTTGGCTGGTTCCAAGGTAGAAACATCATGGCAAGGGTATGGCAAACCAAAGATATTTAGTTCATGGCGGCCAGGAGGCAGAGCAGGGGATCACTGCCAGGGAGGAAACGGCCAGGGACCAGACATGGATCTTGAGGCCATGCCTGCATGACCCAGCCAGATCAAAACATGCTCCTCCAATCCCTTGGGTGGATCTCAAAGTCAATCAAAGTATCCATCCACCATATTCACCATCGTGTCCATTTGTGTATAGCTTGACTTTGGCCTGAGTCCTGCTATGGCAGAGTATCCAGAATCTGCCACTTTCAGTATCTGGGCACTCTTGATGTCCCATCAGATTCCTCAGTGCCATCATCCCCAAGGGAACATCTGACGGCTTTGGCCTGCCTTTAGCAAGAATCCTGTTAGATCAGTTTAGCCAGAATCCTTCTTACCCCTGAAGTGTTCTCTTTGTAATTTTCCATCTACTGACCTTTACCTCTGCCCAGAGCTACAAATGCTCACGTATCCACCTTGTATTCAGAATTGAGCCCAGGTCTGTATGAGGCCTGTTTCCCCTCTTGCTATAGTTTCTGAGGAGTCTGTTTCTACAACTTTAACTACTTTCCAGCTCTGGTTATTTTGTGACAATGTATACACAATGCACATCCACTGGTACATGTACGTACACACAACAGAGTGGCTTTTGAGGCTCTTCTTATAGCTCTGCCAAGGTACTCTCCCTGGTTAGGAACACAGAAACAATACCCTATCCCCAACTCTTCTGCATAGGCATCATAAATAACACCCACCCCAGTCTTCTGGGGCCACATTGGACTTCGGCGGCTCAGCTACCAGCCTCTGGACCTGGGCCAGTGTGCTACAGGCTTCCTCCATCTCCTTCCACACGAGAAACACGTCCTCTCTGACTCCGGCCCCTGGAAAGGGAAATACAGGGTATTAGTCAGCTTCCCCGTTGCTGGGACACCATACCCAACACCCCTAACTTCAAGACAGAGATGCTTAATTTGGTTCATGGTTTAGGGGATTCAGCCTAGGGCAGACTAGCTCCAAGGCAGACATATGATGGTGGGAGGGTCTGGCGGAGGAAAGCTGCTCTCATTATGGCAACCAGGAAGCACACAGTGAGGTCCTCTTCTGGCCAGGCCCCACCTCCTAGTGTTCCTAGCTACGAACTCATCAATGGATTAATCCCCTGAGGAGTACAGTGCTCCCATCCTCCAACCACCCTCCAAGAGCCCCAGCTCAGAACCTGTGAGAACACCATAGATCTAAATCATGATGTAGAGTGTGAGCCACCAGCTTGGACTTTCCAGGCTGTTACATTCCAACCAAGTTTCTAGAATATTTCTAGACATTCGGTTCTGCTTTCTCCACTAATTTCTTCCTGAGACTCAGACCTGAAATTCCCAAGGAAATACTGTCACCTGCAGAAATCATGAAAGCAGATTTCGAATGCAATAAATTCCTGTAAAGAAAATGTTTTGTAGTACACAACATCTTAAAAAAATTTTAAGATAAATTATAGATAAGGAATCAAAACAGTCCAAATCATTTCATAATATTCAAGATTACTGTCATATGGGAGGGAAATTCAGCAGTACATGAAGGCAACAATTCCTAAATTTTTCTTGATTTAGCTGAGGTTTCTACTTCTTTGAAACCAACTTCATGAGTCTTTATTTTATCTAATGTAACAGTAATTCTTTGGCCTCCTTTTCTGGACCACTGTTGTCTTGGAAGAGGGTTATGTTTGGTTGCATGCTTCTTTAAATGAGATGGCTTAATTAAAATAGATAGCTATGCCTTCCCATCAGTGAATCAGTAAAAGCTTATTCCATGGCTAAATGGTTCCAGGACAGAATGAAGTTCTGCCCTCATCAAGGTCCAGGTCCTAATACACTGTGGTTTCCAGAGGTTAAAGAAGGTGTACAGATGGTGGGGAAGAGACATGATGCTAAAAGTACAATGTAAGGGTTTTTAACTGTATCAAAATCAAGATTCTGGATGTGTTGTTGTGCTATAATTTTGCACATGTTGCTAAGAGGGAAACCAGGTGTACTGACCATATTTATGGTGCTTAGGTACACACAACCAACATACACAGCTTGAAAGAAGAGAAGTTTGAATTGGCTCAGGGTTTCAGAGGGTTCAGTCAATAGTCAACTGGCTCCAATGCAGAAACAACATGGTAGAGGAACATGACAGAGGAAAACTGTTCACCTGATAGTCACCCAAAAGCACAGCCCAAGAGACAGTCAAAGGTGGCCAGAAAGTATCCTGCTGTCCAGCTGCTCTGCTCATGCTTTGTGAGAGAGCAAGAAGGGATCTTAGGTTGTCCCAGCCTCAGCTGGAAACATAAGTATTTCTCTCAAAGAATAAAAAAGAAAGAAAGAAAGGAAGGAAGGAAGGAAGAAAAGAGAAAGAAAGAAAGAGCACTCTCCCTTGCAAATGTTGATGACAGACGATTTTACCCACTGCTATTCCTGCCCGTCTAGCTGAGCCCCTGCATCTCTCACCAGAGCCTGCAGAGTGTATGAGATCCACAGTAAACCTAAGATGCAACCACAGCTAGAAAATGCCACCCATCCTTTTGCAGTGACACCAGCCTAAGGGTACTTAAGGCATCACGGGGACCAGTGTGAATCCTCACTCACTCTGAGGGATTGCTAACATGGTCATGCAGATAAGAGTTTAGCAGGTGTGTTCTCTGACTTTAAAAACTCCATTGCAGTAGAAAGTTTATTTAAACACCACCAACAACAGAAAACATTCTGTGAATTGTGTAAGGTTGGCTCAGAGACCACTGATACAAGATCATTAAAGACAGCAGCTGAACCCAACTCTCTAATGATACATGCCTTTCAGAGACACCTGTTAGGTGCCAGGCATTGTACCTGGGTCTGTCATTTCTCTTCATTAAAACTCTATGGGAAGGTACTATATCGCAAAACGGCGCTTTGCTAGGAAGCTGGATAGATAACCTCTCCAGGGAAAACAGTCCAGATGCTAGAATCTGACAACATGGAGAAGGCCAGATGATTGGAGAACGATTCTCACTAACCCAGAAGGAAACCCCTGGGTTTCCTTCAGTGAACTGCCCGTGGCCCAGAGAGGACTGGTGGGAGCAGCTTGGGCTGAACCATGCCACTGGTCAGGAACCTATAGCCAGGGATGAAATAATTCCGACCCTGTGACGTCCGCCACAGCACAGCGTAAAGTGCTGAAGGTACTTTCAGGGTGACTGGCTCAGAGGGGAGGGGCCAACCCACAGCATCCCTGCGCACCACTTCAGATATCAGCAAACTGGAGAGAGCAGCAAGCCCCCAGCCAGCACACTTTAGAGGGGCTGGATATTTAGTTCAGCGGCATAAGCACCTGCCCTGCAAGCACACAGTTGTGAGTTTGATCCCTGGTACTGATTAAAAAAAAAAAAAAAAAAACCACTGTAGAAAAACTGTAAGGAATACAGAGACGGCCTGAGACCTCCTCTACTCACCTGTCTGAAAGAAACCAGAAACATGACAAGAGCAAAAGATAAGACAAAACCTCCAGCCACTGGCCCTGGGAAAATAAGCCCAGGAGAGGTAAATAAGTCCAGCAATAATGCTATATTAGCCACAACATCAGCAGACATAAAGAATTCCATTCATGACTTCATAGATGAACTTAAAACTGAAATTCTAACCTAAGGGAGATAAGAAATAAAAATGTTAATTAAAGAAATGCTAAGCCCCTCTCAAGAAAACACAGAGGGAAAAGGGGAGGAACCCAGAAGAAGGAAAGAAACCTTTACATGAAACAGATCCAAAGAGACTACCAGGAAACTAAAAACTCCATTGAAAGCTGACAAAATGCCTTGATAGAAACTAAAATTAGCCTTTCAAAACTTGAAGAGAGATTTACAGTATGTGATAATGAAAGAAAAGACCTATTAAAAATAACAAGGAACAAAGAAATAACAATTCAAAGGCTAGATGATGACAAGAAGATCTATAACTTAAGAATAAAAAACATAAGAAAAGAATACAAAGTGGACATTCAAACAGAGAGACTGCAAACAGCTTTGTTCAATGATCCAAAAACATTAATATAGTCAGCTATTTAACACCCCTAAACACACTTGCTGTTATATCCGTTAGAGCTCTTCCCCCCCCCTCTCTTTTTTACAACAAAATTTACACATTTTGGATTTTATTACTCCTTAGTTCTTATTACTTTTGGGGGGGGGGAGAGAATAAAGTCAAATATGGCAAAACAAAGCTGTCAGTCAAAACCAAGGATAGACATAGCACATGATGTAGAACAGAGTATTAGGTTATCAACAATGTTTATCAACGTTGTCTCTTGTTTCCTTAAAAAGAATTGTCTATCTCATTAGATATTATAAAGTTGGACAAAACAGTAGAGAACACAATTGTTTTGTGTTTTTCTCTTTTTCCTCTTAAATAAAATTAAAAAAAAACATAAGAAAAGAAGCAGGAGTAACCACAAACGAATTACAAAGACTATTCACAGAAATAATCAAGGAAAAAGAAGTGATAGGAAATAGAAGTGATATCCAGATAAATAAGTCATACAGAACTCCCGCCAACTACAACCAAAACAGATCTACACCCAGACATATAATCAAGATTCCAGAAATCCACCAGAATATTAAAAGTGGCCAGAGAAAAGAAGCAGATCACCTACAAAGGACAAATCATCAAAATAACGACAGACTGGGGACTGGGGATTTAGCTCAGCGGTATAAGCACCTACTTTGCAAGTGTGTGGTCATGAGTTCGATCCCTGTACCAATAAAAAAGAAAAAGACCAAAAAAAAAATTAAAAAAAAATGACAGACTTATCAACACAAACTATTAAATCAAGAAGAGCCTGGGGGGAAATAGTCCAAGCCCTGAAAGAAAATAACCTCCAACCAAGATTAATGTATGCTGAAAATCTCTCTCTCAAAATTATGGAAAAACAAGATGTTTCCAAGACAAAGAGGAACTGTGGGAGTTCAGGGAGACCAACCCAACCCTATAGAAAATACCGAAGGAAATTCTACAGAGAGAGAGAAAAACATACCAGGATTCCAGCAACAGTGGCAGAGAGGCCTCAATGAACAAGGAGGACAGTGGAATGAAGGAGAAAAATAGACAAATAATAGCATAAAAACAGAATAGCAGACTTGAGGCAGAGAAGGTGGCTATAATTTTTAACACAGATAGCCTAGATACACTAACAAAAAGAAACACAGGCAGAGTAGATTAGGAGGCAAGATCCATCGAGATGCTCTGAATAGGAAATATACTCAACCTGAAAGAAGGTTAATAAACTGAAAGTCAAAGATGAGAAAACAGAGCTCTAAGTGACAGGGAACCAGAGAGAAATAGGGACAAGTCGTTCAGCAGCTGCAGACAGGTTGGAAGGTTATGACACTTTTGTGTAGCGTAGAACTACAAAGCTAGAAGGAAGGAAAATCTTGTGGTCTTAGTAAGTAAAAGAGTACAGCTCAAGATCAAGTTCAGGAGTAAAAGGGTTCAGCACCACTCAGATAGATAATGGGTTTCCCCCTTAATCTAAAAACTAAAGGAGTTAGTGGGACCCAAAATATACAAAGCTTCCTGAGAACGGGAAAGGTGAGGAATTGCCTAAAAAAGGAAGGCAGAGGACATTGTTAATAGTGTGTCAGGATTTAAAAGCCACAGTAATCTTATCACTCTGCTTAGTTTGATTTTATTTTGTTCAGGTCAATCTACTCATACTAGATTTGAGGGCACAGATAGCTATCCCCAAAATAGCAAGCATATCATGGTAACTATCCTTAATTTCCTATTAACTTAAACTGAAGCCCTGTATTACTTGCATTGTCTTACTATGATCGTATTTGAAGCTGGTTTGTTAAACTGCTGTTTTGCCTTGACTGATT